TGTAGACTGATCTAAAGTCTGGAACATAGACTGATCTATAGTCTGGACTATAGACTGACTATAGACTGACTATAGACTGATCTATAGTCTTGAATATAGACTTATCTATAGTCTTGACAATAGATTGGTCTACAGTCGTGACTGAAACTGATCTATAGTCGTAACTGAAACTGATCTATAGTCATGACTATAGACTGATCTATAGTCTTGACTTAAGACTGGTCTATAGTCTGTTCCATAGACTTGACTAAAGACTGATCTATAGTCGTGACTATAGACAATTCTGGCCTCTAGTCTATTCTATAGTCTGGTATATAGTCTGTTCTACAATCTTGTTTAAAGTCTGCACTAAAGTCTATCTTATAGTCTGCTCTATAGTCTGATCTCATTTTTACATTTTGGTCTTTTCTTTAATTTTTAGTGCGTCACACTTTTTACTAAAATATTTTTGAAAAATTTGCATATTATATATTTTTTCACTCAATTATGTTTCACAAATTCCCCAAAAAAAAATTTTATCACTTTTATTTTTTTAATTTTTTAATGAACTTAAATAAATTTTTAATGCTTAAAAAATTCATACATAATTTTACACTGTTTTAATTAATAAAAAATATAAAAAATATATATATATTTTATATTTATAACATAATTTACATAATGAGGCGGTAAAATAATAATTAATACCATAAAAAAATATATAGACAAAATTCCCAAACACGAACTAATAACCAAAAAAATAATCATTAAAAGCAAACAGAAATGCTTACTTAAAATGAAACTACCTCTAGCAGCTGGAGATGAGAGAGACAATGTATAACAATAAATCATGATAGAAAATTAAGCTTAGAAATGAATCTCATTAAACTTGTCTAATAAACTAACAATTTCTTTTTTTTTTTTTTTTCTCTCTCTCAAAATACTTAAATATAAACAATTTGATTGGAAATAAAAGTTGGCTTTTAACTTACTACTAGTAATAAAACATTGACTTACATTTGCTGTTAGCCAAAAAATAATTTAAAAATAAATATTTAGTAGGACAAGCCGGTCTGTCTGTCTATCGTTGTCTATCAATTAACAAACAAAAAACTAGACATAAATGTCTCAGGCCTCATGTTTGAGAAAAAAAAAATAACAACAATTTGGGGAGTAGCCAATGGTTATCATCACATTTAGAGACAGTTTTGCTACTACTTTTCAATTCAAAAAATCAAACGCAATTAAATGTTTAAATCACTTAACGTTTATATAAAAAGTAGACTTTAAATACATAATGCATTTATTTCAAAAAAAAGAAAACTCAATAATTAAATCTTGTTAAATTCCAATAAGTCTCGAAATTTTGCCAAAAAAAACTTTTTTTCACAACTTGGAAATCAAAACACCAAAACAATATAAAATAAAAAAAATTGTTACCCCAACATATCATAAATTTTGCACTGTTCAGCGATTACGTGGACACACAATTACTTGCACTATAAACATGCTCATGTCTCTAAAGTGATTTAGGAGCAAAACCTTAATTTTTTTATCATAAAAACAGCGAAACAATATATAAGAAATAAAAACAACATAAAACAACAAAAATAAGGCATGACCACAACCTCTTATAATAAAAAAGTTCATTGTTACAATACGATCACATTCGCAGTTATAAAAAAAAGTTCAAAATGTAAACTGAATATAAAATGTTAAAATTACAATTAAAGCGACAAGGCTGCAGCAAAAGCAGCAAATGGATTTGTTTTATCTTGAATATGGTCTTGACTTTAATCTCGTTTAGAGTCTTGACTTTTGTTTAGATTATAGTCAAGAGAATAATCTTTAAAACTAAAGCTATACTGATGGCTACAACTATTAAAACGAAAACCTGGTACACAGTTTCGACTATAAATCTTGTCCATATTCTCAAATATAGTCTGGTGAATAAAACAGATTATAGTCGTTACCATAGACCAGACTATAGTTAATACTTTAGTCGAGGCGATAGACCAGACACTTTTATAATCCGGGCTCTAGTCTCTACTATTGTCTGGACTATAGCCTCTACTATAGTCTGGACTACAGTCTCTACTATAATCAGGACTATAGTCTCTACTATAGTCTGGACTATAGTCTCTACTATAGTCTGGACTATAGTCTCTACTATAGTCTGGACTATAGTCTCTACTATAGTCTGGATTATAGTCTCTACTCTAGTCTGAACTAAAGCCCCCTATAGTCTCTATTATAGTCTCTACTGTAGTCTGGACTATAGTCTCTACTATAGTCTGGACTATAGTCTCTACTATAGTTTGGACTAAAGCCCCCTAGAGTCTCTATTATAGTCTCTACTATAGTCTGGACTATAGTCTCTACTCTTGTCTGGACTAAAGCCCCTACTATAGTCTGGACTATAGTCTCTACTATAGTATGGACTATAGTCTCAATTATAGTTTGGACTATAGTTTCTACTATAGTCTCTATTATAGTCTGGACTATAGTCTCTACTATAGTCTGGACTATAGTCTCTACTATAGTCTGGACTATAGTCTCTACTATAGTCTGGACTATAGTCTCTACTATAGTCTGGACTATAGTCTCTACTATAGTCTGGACTGTAGTTTCTACTATAGTCTGGACTGTAGTTTCTACTATAGTGTGGACTATAGTCTCTATATAGTCTGGACTATAGTCTGAACTATAGTTTCTATTATAGTCTCTACTATGGTCTGGACTATAATCTCTACTATAGTAAGGTCTATAGTCTCTACTATAGTCTGGACTATAGTCTTTACTATAGTCTGGACTATAGTCTCTACTATAGCCTGGACTATAGTCTCTACTATAATCTGGATTATAGTCTCTACTAAAGTCTGAACTATAGTCTTTACTATAGTCTAGACTATAGTCTTTACTATAGTCTGGTCTATAGTCTCTACTATAGTCTAGACTATACTCTCTACTATAGTCTGGACAATAGTCTCTACTATAGTCTCAACTATAGTCTCTACTATAGTCTTGACTATAGTCTCTACTATAGTATTGACTATAATCTCTACTATAGTCTTGACTATAGTCTCTACTACAGTCTGGACTATAGTCTCTGCAATAGTCTGGACTGTAGTCTCTACTATAGCCTGGATTTTAGTCTGTACTATAGTCTCTATTATAGTCTACTATAGTCGACTACATTTTGGTCTATAGTCTCTGCTATGGTCTGGTCTGATCTTTAGTCTCTACTATAGTTTGGTCTATATCTTTCGCTATAATCTGGTCTTTAATCTCGACTCTACTTTATAGCTTCGCGTATAGTCTGGTCTTTAGTCTCGACAATAGTCACGCCTGTATTATGGTTTATAGTCTCGACCCAGTCTGGTCTATAGTATAGACTATAGTCTGGTCTACAGTCTCGACTAAAGTCTGGTCTATACTCGCGTCAATAGTCTGGTCTATAGTCTCGACTATATTTAGGGGTATAGTCTAGTTTATGGTCTCGACTATAGTCTGGTTTATAGTCTGTTCTAAGGTCTCGATTATAGTCTGGTCTATGATTTTGATAATACTCTGGCATATATCGACTATAGTCTGGTCTCTAGTCTCGACTTTAGTCTGGTCTCTAGTCTCGACTTTAGTCTGGGTTTCAACTACAGTCTGATCTACTTCATCCTTGTCTATACTCTGTACTATAGTTTGGTCTATTACTTTTTCCTTTCATTTTGTGACATATTTTTTTTTTTTTTTCAACTAAATATTTTAATTTTTTTTAATAAAATGCCTTCATATTACATAAATTATAACGGTATTTATATCTTTCAAATTGTTTATATCCTTAAATGTTAGTTGCCATAAATAAACGGGAATAAATGTTAACGAGATACGTAACCTGTATAATCAATCATGTTAATAAATTGTTTTAATTGTTTATAAACGATAATAAATAAATAAAAAAATAAATTTTGTTAATAAACCTGGTTAAAAGTAAAAGAGAAAAAAAACATAATCAATTACACCTACTTTTTTTTGTTAAACGATTTGAAAAGTTTTATGACACAGTTTTGTGTTTTTCTGAAGAAAAATAATAGCAAAAGTAAAGCAAAATTATATAAATAAATAGTTTAACAGAGAAAATTTTATAAAATATAAATAGTAAGAGGAAAAGTGTTTCCCTGGAAAAAAATAAAATTAAGTTTTAAATTTTTTCATATATTTTTTTTTTTTTTTTGTTTTGTTTAAATATTAAATAACAGCTACTGTTTGTAGCTGTAATATTAGTATGACCAAATTTGTGGCAAAACTATTGTGGGATTTCCATATTAAATATTAAAACCACAATTGTTAAGAGATACCAAATATTTTTCTCTTGATATCAATTACATTTAGATTTTTTTTTTAGATTCTTTAAGTAAAAAAACAAGATTCTTATGAAAATTAAAAATGATTGCTTAATCTCAAACCCAAAACACAAAACCAGATCAAGTTAATAATACTCAACTTAATATTGAAATTGTTATATGGAAAATTTTTGTCATTTGAATGCAAAAATGCATTCAATTTAGACATAATTTTTTCTCAAGGTTAATTAGTTGTTTACCGTTAGTTTTCAAATTATTACCAGTTTTTTTCTTTCAATTTTTTCTTTAAAATAATTTTTCATTTTAATACAAGTTTTGCCACAATTTTAAGTAGTATTTTATGTTTTAACTTTTCATTTATAATTATCACTTGAATTTATTAAATTCAATTGCGTTAATGAAATATGACAACTTGTTTCCACAATTTTATAAAAAAAAACAATAAAAATTGTTGAAAAATACATGATTTTATGGCTGGAAAAACAAGGCTGGGACAGTAAATAATCTAATTAATTATATTTTTATCAGTTAAGGCTGGGAAAAAGGATATCCAGGCTATAAAAATTGCTATAAACAAATTATGGCCAATAAATTAGTTTAAAATTTGTTATAAAAATCTTAAAAAAAAATGAATTTTTATTGAAGGAATTTGACAACACTCACCTTGTTAAGCAGTTAGTAGCTGAAATGAAAAAGAAAATAGAGATTTTAATAATGACAGAAATTATAAAAAGATAGTAAAGACTAGACTATCGACTATGCTTTACTACTATACAGGTTGGACTACAAACTAGAATAGACTAGACCGTAGACTATAATATAAAGAGATTACATTATAGACTAGACTATACACTAAGCTATGGACTAGAATATAGACTAGATTAGACTTGACCATAGACAACACTAAAGACTACACTAGGTTATAGACTAAACTATAGACTAGACTATAGACTAGATTATAGACTAGACTATAGGCTAGACTATAGACTAGATTATAGACTAGAATATAGACTATAGACTAGACTATAGACTAGACTATAGACTAGACTATAGACTAGACTATAGACTAGACTATAGACTAGACTATAGACTAGACTATATACTATAGACTAGACTATAGACTAGACTATAGACTAGACTATAGACTAGACTATAGACTAGACTATAGACTAGACTATAGACTAGACTATAGACTAGACTATAGACTAGACTATAGACTGGACTATAGACTAGACTATAGACTAGACTAGACTATAGACTAGACTAGACTATAGACTAGACTATAGACTAGACTATAGACTAGACTATAGACTAGACTATAGACTAGACTGTAGACTAGACTATAGACTAGACTATAGACTATACTATAGACTAGACTATAGACTAGACTATAGACTGTACTATAGACTAGACTATAGACTAGACTATAGACTAGACTATAGACTAGACTATAGACTAGATTATCGACTAGATTATGGACTAGATTATTGACTAGACTATAGACTGGACTATAGACTATAGACTAGACTATAGACTAGACTATAGACTAGACTATAGACTAGACTATAGACTAGACTAGACTAGACTAGACTATAGACTAGACTATAGACTAGAGTATAGACTACACTATAGACTACACTATAGACTACACTATAGACTACACTATAGACTACACTATAGACTACACTATAGACTACACTATAGACTACACTATAGACTACACTATAGACTACACTATAGACTACACTATAGACTACACTATAGACTACACTATAGACTACACTATAGGCTACACTATAGACTAGCCTATAGAATAGACTAGAGTCTAGTATAGAGTCATAGTCTGAATTTTAATCAGTTTATAGTCTAGATTTTATCAAGTTCCGTAGTCTGGACTCTAGTCTGCAAAATGATCTGGTGTATATTCTGGTTCAGAGCCTGGTCTATTATCTGGCCTATAGTCTGACCATAAATTTAACTGCTCAGTATTTTTAACATTTTGTTGAATATTTTCGTTTTAATTCATATTTATATTTAAGTCACTTTTAATCTGTTGTTTTTGTTAAATGAATTAGTTTTTCAAGAATTTATCTACGTCTACTACACCTTATGATAAATTATAAAATAATTTTATTTAAACAAATAAACTACTTTGCTAAAAACACAAAACAAAACAAAAAATGTTAAAGAAATTTTTTATGAAATAAAAAAAAAATTGTTTATTTACACAAGTGTGACTGATAGCAGGGTATGCACAGACAAAAGAAACACTTAGAAGCAAAATAAATTAAACACATATTTATTATAATTAAAATCAGTTAAATTTCTTTAAGAATATAAACAAATCTTAAAACAAATTTTAAAGTTTATAATAGAAAAATTTTATAAAACAAAGAAACTGTAAGGCTTTTTACTTTTTGGACTTTTTGTTAGAGACTTTTTATAATTTGTACATATAAGACTTAACCTGTTTTGTTAATAATGTATGGTTTTTAAATGTTGATACGTTTTTCAAGTTTAAATAAATTAAAATTAAAATCTTCTAAATTTTTTTAAACAAAGTATAATTAAAATTTAGTTAAATAAAAACCTTTTAAATTAGAGGACGTTTTGGAGAAAAAATTAGCGGACTTTTAATTGAGATTTAAAAAAAAACAACAACAATAAAAATAATCTTTAAAAATAAAAATTATATAAAAAACTGATAAATGTGTTAAAAAAAAAACAGCAAAAAAATGGTGCGTTTTTTTGGCAAATTTTCCATTTTAACAAGTTCATTAATGTGTTTTTGACCAAATTTGTTTAAGAAAAAAAGTTTAACAATTTGTTTATACATCATGTCACGATTTTCATATATATTAACAAGTTTTTCAATGACTTGTCTTGACCCTCATCAATAAAGTTTTTTTCGGAGTTTTTTGTTCAACTTTAAATAAAATTTATTAGAGGAAAATGCCAAAAGACAATAAACGAAAATTTATTGGATTTTTTTCAAATACACAAAAAAAGTTATAAAATCTTTAATTTTGATAAAAAAAATTCAAGTTTGAATTGTAAAAATTTAAGAAAAATGGAATTTATTAAAATTTTTAATGTTCGAATATCAAAAAATTGTGCCGAAAAGTTGTTAAACTTTGAAATCTTTATCATATTTATATGTTACAGCAGTAGAGCAACAGTTTGTGATCGTTTAGAGAATTTCGAAATTAACTTCGAATTTTCGAAAATTAACTAAAAACAAGAAATTTTTTTGTTCGAAAGTCAAAAATTTCAGGAAAATGTTTAAAAATTTAATGATTTTACGAATTTCGAAATTAACGAATTCTCGAAATTAACGAATTTTCGAACATGACCCAAAAAGCTTATTTTGGTAAAATTTAGAGAATAAGGTATTTGATAATAATAAAAACGTTAGTTTTAAACTAAAATTTAAAGTTTAAATAACAAAATCTGGCAAAAATAAAATTTCGAAATTAACTTCGAATTTTCGAACATGACCCAAAAAGCTTATGTTGGTAAATTTTAAGGGATAAATTATTAAACGATGACTAAATAGTTTATTTTCGACTGAAAATTTCAAGTTTAAATAACAAAATCTGCCAGAAAAATGGAATTTCGAAATTAATTTCGAATTTTCGAACTGATCTGATATGTTTATTTTGGTAATTTTAATGGTTTAAGTATTTAGCAATGATAAAATCGTTAGTTTTAAACTAAAATTTCAAGTTTAAATAACAAAATCTGCCAAAAAAAAATTTTTGAAATTAATTTCGAATTTTCGAACATGATCCAAGAAGCTTATTTTGGTAAATTTTAATGGTTTACGTATTTAACAATGATAAAATCTTTAATTTTAAACTAAAATTTCAAGTTTGAATAACAAAATCTGTCGGAAAATGCAATTTCGAATTTTCGAACATGACCCAAAAAGTTTATTTTGGTAAATTTTAATTGATAAGGTTTTCAATAATGATAAAATCGTTCGTTTTAAACTAAAAATTTAAGTTTAAATAGCAAAATCTGCTGGAAAATGAAACTTCCAAATCAATTTCGAATTTTCGAACATAACCCAAAAAGCTTATTTTGTTAAATTTTAGAGAATAAGGAATTTAACAATAATATAATCGTTAGTTTTAAACTAAAAATGTTAAGTTTAAATAACAAAATCTGCCGAAAAAAAGAATTTCGAAATTAATTTCGAATTTTCGAACATGACACAAAAAGCTTATTTTAGTTTAATAGCAAAATCTGCCGAAAAAAAGAATTTCGAATTTACGAACATGATCGGAAATGCTTATTTTGGTAAATTTTAAGGGATAAGGTATTCAATAATGATAAAATCGTTATTTTCAAACTAAAATTTCAAGTTTAAATAACAAAATCTGCCAGAAAAATGGTATTTCGAAATTAATTTACAATTTTCGAACATGATCGGAAATGTTTATTTTGGTAAATTTTAATGGTTTACGTATTTAACAATGATAAAATCGTTAGTTTTAAACTAATATTTCAAGTTTGTATAACAAAATCTGCCGCAAAATGGAATTTCGAAATTAATTTCGAATTTTCGAACATGATCCAAAAAGCTTATTTTGGTAAATTTTAGTCGATAAGTTATTAAACAATGATTAAATGCTTTATTTTTGACTAAAAATTTCAAGTTTATATAAAAAAATTTAAAACAATCGATTTCTTTAAAGAAATTTTCATGTTCGAATGTCCCAAAACCCTTGAAAATATTAAGGAACTATAAAACTGTTATGATATTTATATTGTTTAACTATAAGGGAACATTTTGAGATAATTTTTAGAATTTCGAAATTATGTTCGAAATTTCGAACATTGCCCAAAAATCTACTTTTTTGGAAATTAAGAGGGATGACATATTCGAACATGATAACATCTCTAAATTTTGGTGAAAAAAGTATAAAAAATGTGATATTTTTTTAAATTAAACTTAAAAATTATAGGAAAATTAAAAAAAAATCTATTGGAGTAATGCATGTCTTATTTAATAATTTTGACTCATTTAATAAAATATTTTTAACCACAAAACACACCTATGTTAGTTACTCACAAAAAAATATTTCATTTTGATTTATAAAAATGATCGATCAAATCAAAAATTCACTTTAAATAAAGTGATATATAATTTAAAAAAAAATGCATAAACCCTGTATTTAAAGTAAAATTTTTTATACAAATCATTGAATATTATTTGAATACAAACATTAATTTATACATAACTAAAAATTTACAATTAGTTTTTCTTGTTTCAATTTTGTTGTTGTTGTTGTTTGCTGTTAAACATTTGTAATTTATTTAAATTCAATTTTTATTTTAATTTCACTTTCATTTTCAATAAGAAAGCAATATAATAAAAGACAGACAGACAGACAACGAGCCTAAAAAAATAAAAACTTTTACACACTCTTAACTTAGTCATTCATTCATTCAAATACACTTGAATTCACTAAATAAGTATAAATATCTATAAGATACATAACACCACCATCCGGTCACTATTTGGATTTATATTTTTTACATCACCCCGAAAAAAAAATAGCAGTTTTATTATCAATTCGTATATTTTCCAAAACTAACGCGTCCCCAATCACAGTCTTATAGATACTTTGGTATTGGTAGTAAATTATACAAATTGTATAGATACCACGTTTTTTT